ATATATATATTCAAAATTATTCCAAACTGCTGATAATCGTGGAAAATTTTAATGCAGAATCACCGAGTTAAGACTCATACGCCAAGGTGTTGATGTAGTGCAAAGTGCAGATACTTCAATAAAGATACTGTATCATACATTAGTAGTATTTGCATTATATTTATCTCTGATTATCATTATGCATTTCATTTTTATAACCATCGTTTTATCATATATTATGTAACAAAGGAAACGTCCACGGAACTATGAGTATTTCAATACTGAACAGTTGAATACTAAATACTGTTGAGGAGCAAGAATGGAAAAATACCAAAAGACCAACAAACTTTCATTGTTTCTAATTAACAAAATTTTATTTGTATTTAAACTCACTAAAAGTCATGAGTCTCTATCACCTGAATAATCCTGTTTTTGCAGATTGTTAACCAATCAGCCGGCTATTTGAATCGTCACGTTAGTTGAAAAACAATATATCAATCAAAATGCACGATCGACTGAACGTATGTTCGATTGCTAGTGACAAACAGACGTCACGGAATACATTACATGCAGACAATCCCATTGACCGAATTGGGTTATTTATCGCACATCACGAGGAATGTCTGGCCTTATTTATTTCTCTCGTGGATAGATAAAAGTATTGTACTCCACACTATGTTGTGTTTCTGCATAAGTAAAATTTTCACACAAAACATTCAACGACGTTAATAATAAGCCTTCGTACGACGACTAACATTCACGTAAGCGTTGATTGCAATGTTTGTACAAAACATCATTGTAATATTGTTATTATAGGGAGTTGTTGTCATTTTGAAGTTTGAATAAGTGGTGTGTCATTACCAACAACAATATTTAGATCTGAAGATTAGAGCTTTGCAGCCGAAAGCTGTTAATTTACTTAATATAAACATCGGTAAAAGCAAAACATTTTATTCGTAAAACAGCATTATAAATCAGTTGGGAAAGTATCTATAAAATCTAATATAATCAATAAAAGTTAACTAAATCAATGGTGTGTTTTTACCAAGAACTAGATTTAAACCTAAAAATTATAGCATTGCCGTCGAAAGCTGTGAATGTAATTAATTTAAACATTTGTAAGGACAATATATTTTATTTGCAAAGAAGCACTGAAAATTAATTACGAAGGTGTCTTCACTTTCTATCAATCCATAAGAATGACGTAAAAATAATACATAAATGTTTGCGTGCTTTTCAGAAATATCAGCACAGTGCCCTAGTATAATCCTAGCCCTTTACTGTACACAGACAAACGTTTTATAGTGGAGCACACTGCACGTCCCCCACTTCCCCACCAGTTGCGAGCAAGCGCTGTTGTTGCCGCGTACCTTGCACGACGTGGTGCAGGTAGGTCATGTTGTTGATGGCGTCGTAGGTGAGGTGGCCGCCGTTGGCGCGCAGCGCGTCGCGGATCTCGCGGCGCAGGCGCGTCTGCACGTCGGGGTGGCAGGCCAGCTCGTACATGGCGAACGTCTGCGTGGTGGAGGACGTCTCAAAGCCCGCCGCCAGGAACACGAACGCCTGCGCCGCGAACAGGTCGCCGTCGAACTCTGCAACTCGCGCGCGCGGGGCGGGGCTCAGACGCGGTTGGCAGAACGCTTCGCGTTGATGGGGGTGGGGTGACGTAGAGGGTGATGGGAGGCAGAGAGAACGTGGAATGCTATAGAGGTTGGTATGACGTCAAAAGTGTGGTCGTAGAGGGGTGGTATGACGTACGAGATGTGACGTCGATGGAGGTGTAATGTAGAGGGTGGTGGGCCGCAGAGGATGATGGGTGGCAGAGATAACGTGGTCTGCCGTAGAGGTTGATATGACGTAAAAAGTGATGTCGTAGAGGGGTGGTATGACGTAAGAGGTGTAACGTAGAGGGTAGTGTGATGTAGAGAGTTGTGTGACGTAGAGGGTGGTGTGACGTTGAGGGTGGTGTGACGTAAGGGCGGTGTAACGTAGAGGACGGTGTGACGTAGAGGGTTGTGGGCCGCCAAGAGTGATGGGCCGCAAAGAAAACGTGAAATGCCGTAGAGGTTAGTATGACGCAAAAATGTGTTGTCGTAGAGGCAGGTATGACGTAAGAGGTGTGACGTAGAGGGTGGTGTAACGTAGAGGGAGCTGTGACGTAGAGGGTGGCGTGACGTAGAGGGTAGTGTGATGTAGAGGGTTGTGGGCCGCAGAGAGAAAGTGAATTTTAAATTTCTGAATTTTACAACAAACAATCCTCAAATCTAAACTTAACCTATTTAGACATTAAGGGGATGTTGACCCAGACAGGGCACCACGTTCTCGCGCAACGTGGATGCAAGGGGCTTTCATGTTTGACTAGTAACTTTTCTCGGGCCACAATAAATGGCATTGCGGGCCGCCAGTTGGACAACCCTGCCATAGAAGGTTGTATGACGTAAAAGGTGTTGCTGTAGAGTGTGGTATGACGGAAGAGGTGGTGTAATGCAGAGGGTGGTGAGACGTAGAGGGTGGAGTGACAAGGAGGGTGGTTTGACATTGAAGGTGGTGAGACGCAGATGGTAGGTGGTAGGTAGATGATGTGATATAGAGGGTGGCGTGACGTACAGTGAAGTGACTTAGAGGGTGGTGTGACGTAGAATGAGCTGTAATGCATAGGGTGGTGTAACGTGAGGATGGTGTAACGTGAGGATGGTGTAACGTGAGGGTGGTGTAACGTGAGGGTGGTGTAACGTGAGGGTGGTGTAACGTGAGGGTGGTGTGACGTGGAGGGTGGTGTGACGTGAGGGTGGTGTAACGTGAGGGTGGTGTGAAGGGGAGGGTGGTGTGAAGCAGAGGTTGGTGTAAATTAGGAGGTAGCTGAGTAAGGAGTGAAGTAGAGAGTGGAGTGACATAGAGGAGACGTGATGTAGAAAATGATGTAGTGACGTAGAGGTGACAAAATGTGTTGTGACGTAGCGGGGGATGCTAATGTAGAGACGATGTGAATTAAAATGATGAAGAAAGAGTCGTGATACAACGGGATGCGTGATGCAAGTATAATCAGAAACTTTACCGTGTTTTTTTATATAGTTGTGATTTACAGACCTATGGAACACTCTCGTAATACTACTCTGTTGTGACAAAAACTATTATTTGTAAAAAGTCACACGTTATTTTAGAAAAATGTAGTTGGCACTCCGTTAAAGAAGAAACATCTATAAATACTACGTATCTTAACATTGTGTCATTGTTACACTTTGATACGATACCTATCAATTTCAGACAACTACAGGGGAATTGATAATGCAAAACAAACTCTTATCCTTCTTCTACAGCAAACATTTCCGGCGGGGAAATCTTAACTGATAAGTGAACTGCGAGTTCTTTGATAAATATTTGTGTCCTGGTAACCTACAACCTCCTTCTGTATTTACATTCTCAGTGATCAATTAAACATACCAAGGCTGCTTATGAAGCTTAAAATAACCTAATATATTGATTTTAGATCATTTGAAAGCCGACTGCGAAATGCCTTTTTATTGCGCACAAGGATCACGGAAAATAATTATTGTTTCTGAAACAGTTATGACGTTCGTTCTGTTTCTCTGAAGGTCTTTTTAGGTCTTTACATACTTAACAGGGAAACGGAGTTTCTTAACAACTAGTAATGACAACGTTTGAAGTATTGGTCAGGCTGGAACACATGTTACTGTTTGACCCTGAGCTGCGTAAGTGAAAACTCCCAAAAACGTATAAATCGGCGAGATGAAAATACGTAACTTGCGACGGAATCACTTACGTAACTCAACAGACAACATTTGCTTCCCGACTCGTGTTTGACGCCTAAAAAAGAATGGACATGTAATTCTAGGAGCAATAAAATTCCTTTCTGGAAATATTTCCGTGAAAATCTTTTTCATGTGCTTCTACATCTTCATTACTGAGCTAGATGTAAATTTAATCATCTCTGATGTCTTCAAATAATTCTTTGAATACTTTTCTGAAAAAAGGGACTTCGCCGGTTGTCTGGTGTAATATTTCTGCAGTGGCGAGTTACACAAATCTAGAGCGACAAACATTCACGCAACGGTAGACCCAAAGCTTCCATGCCCCCTGCCGCCACACACACACACACACACACCTAAACATTGCGTGCGCCCACTCATCAACGTTAGCCTTAACTAATCATAGTCTTAGCGCATCCGGTCAACGATAATTAGTCAACAGCGTGTCACTTATTTTCCTACGCGTTAGTTTTTAAGCCTCAACTCTAATTTATGTTCTGAAAACTTTCCATTCTCCACTAATATATTCTGAAAAACATGCCAATATAATTGCTTTTAGCAGTATACAGCAGTACATACTTTTCACAACACAAGCTGTGAAATTTGTCTTCTATCTTTGGGGTACAGATTATTGATTATCATCGTAAAAATTAGACCTCGATCTTAAAGAGAAAGAAATATCAAATTCAACGCAACCGGTTTTGCCTTATCTAATTCCAAATATCATATGATATTCCTACTTCGATCATTTACACATTTTGGTGCCTGTAGAACGTTTCTGCAACATAAGTCTTTTTAACTCCGGGCGTATTTGTATGTACTTTCACCAGTCTCCTCACGTGGCTGTAAACCGATGTCGAACACAGAACCTTAGTCAGTAGATAAAAAGATGAATGTCAGTCCTTAGCTACTTAGGCCAGGTTAGAGGTAGGGGGTTCAGGTTAGAGAGTTGGCAGCAGTTAAAGATTCTTTGCATAGCCCATGTCAGGTATAACTTTCGTCCACTCTTGATACTGAGGTTGCGAAGGAATAAGGGAAAAATAGTGTACAGAGGTGATACAGCTGTAATTGCTCACCATACCGCAACACACCTGAAAACATCCCCAGCTTAGTGAGATTCGATTCCACAACCTTCGATGTAACTCATTCCTCAAAAAGAGCCAGTTTCGTCTGCCGCACCGGGTCTCAACATGCAAGAAAATTGAAAACTGGGTGAGGATTATTTGTAATAGCAAGGACTTTTAATTATAGCTGTTATTACAACTTACAATTATGGGGATTAGAGACGGATCTATATAGGTGTGCAGGGGAGTAGCAATTTCAACACAGAACCCAAAAAACGTTATATTCAAATTCAAACAACGTTTATACTTGTCGTGAATACCTTTGGATGTGATGCGATTAATACATTCAATTATTTTGAAGAAATTGAATGAAGTTACAAAAAATGTTTGGTTGAGAGTGGCTGCATGGCCGCCAGGGATCTTACCAGGATATGCCACTAGTGGCAATAAGCACATTTACTAATATAAATAGAATGAAATGTAATAAGAATATATTTATATAATGATGATGGTATGATACTAATATTTGCAGATTCTTTTTGCAATAAAACAGACGTGCTTTTTGTCTGAAAAGTAATGAGACTTTCAAGATATGAATTAATTCTCGTCATGAGTTGTAGATTACCGTCTTAGATTCTAAAACAGATAAAATCTACATTTTGTAATTGTTAATAACATTTGGTAAATTAATTTATGTTCTACTGCAATGTCTGAGTGATTGGAAAGAAAATCAATATTGTTTGTACTTTTTTTCATCGAACAGATTTCAGTTCACTGATAAAAATTCGCAACGATAATGAAAATGACTAATTGCCATGAAAAGTGAAGAAAGATACCATAAATCAAGAGGTAAGATTGATCTGCACGAAACGCTTTGGAAGTTACACATGGAAAGCTGACAGGCACGACGAAAGCAAAACCAGATACCATTTTTTTAGTCTTTTCCACACAAGCATCAATCTTTTTTCAAAAAATCTATTTTTTTGGCAACAATATAAATACGTGCTGTGGAACTGATATAATAAACTATCACGTTATTTTAATACTGCTCCTATTTTTTTCGAAAAACTCTTAAAGCATGTTGATAAAATTGTGCGCATATGGTATGTGAATTACAGATGGCGTTGATTCAATTATATAACACTTCTAAGATAAGTATTTCAGTTAGGAACTCAAGTCGGTAAAATTAAGGTAAAACAACTATAAAACGTAGGCAATATACGATGCAACGATTGCGCGAATTTAGAAACAAACATTTGCAATTGTATGCATGTGTGAAGCTGAGTTTCTGTTTTATTAATAGAAATTATTCAGATATAAATATACGAGATCAACAAAATTAACGAAGGAGTAAGAGTATTTTGTTATAAAAATTATTGAAAATGACTTGAACAGACTCAATAATGTTTTGTGTAAATGGGAAGTCAAAAGTTGAAAGACCAGTTCACGCAATTGACTTCAAAATGCCGGAGCAAAGCTAATCAAATTGGCCGTTACATATTGTCAATTTTTTGACAATCAACTAACTTACACGTATAACGGTTTGAAGCACCCCCATATTTACAGAACAATTCATACGTATTCAATTAAACCTGTTAAAGCCGTCAAAAGAACTCAGCTCCCCACCCCAGAATAGATAGAAAACCAAAAGCTGAAAAGTACGACCAACTGCTGCACGCCTGCCTACCCCACCGTTTCTTTTATTTTCTGCGCAAATGAGGACGAAACCTTACGTGCTGTTCGCCCATTAGTCGCAATGACAAGTGTCCAGCCGTGACCGGCGACGTCACAAAAACCCTCACCAGCCCGGAGCCCACCACTCACCGATGTTGCCGTCCGCGTCCTTGGCGTGTCCGTCTGTCTTGTCGGCGGCGGCGGCGGCGTCGCCGTTTGCGGTGGCGGTGGGCTGGTGCGGGCCGTCCCCGTCCACGTGGCCCTTGGCCCTGATCTGCATGAGCAGGTCGAGGAAGTCCTTGCGCACCAGCCCCGTCTTCTCGCGGTGCTCCACCGTCTGCCACACCACGCGGCGCGTGAAGTCGGTGAGCTCCGAGTCCCAGACGCGCACGCGGAACGTGGAGAGCAGGCTGGGGGCGAAGAAGGCGACGGCGGACTTGAGCCCCAGCCAGAAGTCGAAGTCCACCACCTTGCGCAGCACGCGCCGGAACTCGGCGTCGGGGTCCTTGAGCGCGTTGCCCTGGATGCCGAAGCCCACGGACGCGATGGTGTCGGTGGTGTAGCGCGCCAGGATCTCGCGCATCTCCAGCACGCCGCTCTCTGGCGCACAGCGCGAGCGGCAGCTCATTGTTACTGTTATTATTATTATTACTATTATTGTTATTATTATTTGTTAACTTTCTCAACAATTTTGGTAGTTTCATAACACGTCGGAATTCAGATTCAAGACGTATTACAATTGAACAATATTGTGCTTCATCACAACACAAATGAAATCAAATTTACATATAAGAATACTATCCGAATTAAAATTATTATTATTATTATTATTATTATTATTATTATTATTATTATTATTATTATTATCATTATTATTATTATTATTAGCGTACAGGCCATTACTGACCACGCTACACGATTAACGTGTGTAATTCTTCCAGGAACAGCTTTTCAGCTGTATCCTTGGATTACAACAAGGTTGTTACGGCTTGAGGTGAGAATTATGAGATGATAGGATGATGATGATTCGTGAATCTGCAGTCATAAATGCGACCATGTCTATGCAGGATTCGAAACTGCAGCCTCCTCGACGCAGATGACGGATGATGCAACCGTCAGTGCCATGGAGCTGACATAATAATTTTCATCATCATCATCACTATTATTATTATTATTATTATTATTATTATTATTATATACTTACGATTTCACAGTATAAATTGCAGCATTATAACACGCATATTAAGGTCGCGGGCAAGGTAACTAGCACACTAGAATTCATGGGTACTGCATCTAGAGTAGCCGGCGCGAAATTTAAAAGTAAGGGATGTACAAATTACTCCGAAGTGGCGATGCTTTACTGGACTCCTGGCCCATATCGGTCTTTTGGAAATGTCAATTGACAGATATTGCCCCCAATTTTAGCTATATTAATTTTCGTTTCCTACACTAAAGCATAAAAATATTCACTGAAATGAAATAAAACAACAGTTAGATTTCACAATGTCAATTCAGAGAAAAATTAAAAATTTTGAATAAAAAAAGTTCGTAATTGTGTTAACTTAAGAGTGCAAGAATGGCATTAACCCCCTTAGTTCAAGTTAGGAGATTTAACAGGCAAGTTACTTTAAAGAGCTGTCCGCCCATAAGCAAGAATTGTTAAATACAGAGATTTATAAATTTAATTCTCATTATTACCGTATAGAAAAATAACATTATAGTTAATGAAATATGATAATATCCAAACAAAGAAAGAATTTGACATTCAATTTGACATATTCCTACCCACTGACAATTCTATATATAAAAGGTAGAATTTAAAAAGAAAATAAACATGAAAGAGTAATAAATAGTAAAGTATAGAAATATTATTCAAATCTCGGTTGTTTGCTGGAACAAATCTGGCACAAGTAAAGGCGCTATTCCTTGCCTCGCACCACTTGAGCTTGGGCATGAACAAGCCTAACGGGATTTTGAGAGCGGTGTCCGGGGAAGTGGCTCTGGAGCTTCGAAGCTCTCAGACGGGCTAGTAGCTCGTGAAGGCGCGGTTTAGCCTGCTTACTTTTTAACAACTATGTTGATACTTTCAGGAAAAACGGTTAAATACCCTTTTGATTAAAATTTTCTCAATGATAAGCAAGTAGTATAATTAATGATAAATAGTTTTGAGAAATGCATTCTTCGTTTATTAAGAAGTAATAAATTATACTCATTGTATAAAAGTATAATGTAGTACAGTTTTTGTAGTTCGTTTGATTGTTATTGACAATACCTCTCCCATAAAAATTGAATTAACTCAAAATTAAAAAAAAAATGTTCTTGTTCACACTACTCATACCGTGACGATTTGTTTACCTTTCATCTGTTTCAATAATTCCATTAATACAATAAAAGGAGTTGTTCTAGTTGATGGATAACAAAATATTTGTATATTTACACTATCATTTAGTTGGTGGCAATAAATATTTATAACTTACAGTGCAAGAGAGTAGACTAGAGAGTAGTCTTCGAATTGTCGTCTAGGAGTAAAAAAGAGATTCTCGAATGGCATACCATATTTTGCTATTATTACTAAATAACTGTAAGTTCTAATGTCTTTATGAAATGTCGCATAAATATAAGTAAATCCAACCGTTTTTAATTGTTGTAATGATATTGATGTCAAAGAGACATTCACAAAATGACAAACTGAAATATTTGTAACATATTGAAGAGGTAGAAATACAAATTTAGAAACAAATTGACACAACACGGTGTATTTTCAATATTTTCAGTAATTTAGACACGCTGTATCAATTTACGAATTGAAGCGGTGAAATAAAGGTATTAGGTAGGAATTTAAAATTTTGTTCTCGCAATAGAATAAAATAGTTGTTTATGTTGCTATTAATATAGAAATTAATGTTACTTTACAAACTTGTAAATAACAAAATAATAAATTAATGATAAATAATAATATAGTTCACGAGTATAAGTAAATTTAAATTACTTCTTAAAATGAACAACCTAGGGAATTATATTCACCTTGCTCTTTAAACACTGATGAAACATATATGAATATATTATTTTGTAATATTTACTAGCATTACGAAATGAAGGATAATCAAAGCTTCACCGTTACGAAATTACGTAATATATTGATTCAAATATGTTAACGCATACCTTTTATTACTTTTAATTCTATTAGTTCAATTATTTTATGGCAACATACATGTTACGTATTGCTATAGGAAATCAGTAGTAACATTTTTGCATTTTCATTAACAGTGATTATGGCTTTCTTTGACAACACTTGTTTGTCTTAACTTTGCCCACAAATGTGCCCAATATTTGTCACATACCAATTCTTTGTATAATTAATTATATTCTATAACAAATATTGTTTTTATTATTTAGTTTTAAGATTTTAGATAAAAACGTGCTATAGATCAGAGACTTCGTATGTGTATTTCTTTCCAACGGAATACACTACGTGTTTACAGAAGTATTTCTTTTATATTATCTCACAATATTATCGCATTATGACAATTTAACTTTGTTCCGAATTTCTAAGAAATATTGCTCACCTCCTCCTCCAAGTTCACGGTTAACAAGTTGAACCATTTCCTTTCCACATTCGTTGACGAACTCGTACATCAGCTTCATCTTGCCTGAAGTGAACGTGGGAGTCAGTTTGACGCGGATGTGCCTCCATCTGGGCCCACTCAAACCAAAGAGATTCTTGGTGAACATCGGGTCCAACTTCTCGTCAGGACTGAAAGTGCGATCACGAAAGTAGTTGAAATCCTTCACCAAAATGCTTTTGATGACGTCCGCGTCTCTTACAAGCAGTATGGGACGATGGAAGGCGAACATGCCAATATACGGTTTCCCTACTGCATCCAAATAAAACTTTGCGAGAAGTTCACCCATGCTGGTTTTCCCAAGGGCCATATCTTGAAGATTACCAACAAATGGCTTGGGCTCTATGTACGGCACGCCTTTTTTTCGCCAGTGTCCGAAATTCTTGGTGGCGAGCCAGTAGAATATTCCTAAAACGCCTACCACTAGAATGGACAAGTCCATCAGGAAGGAGTCGGTTAACAGCACCATGGTTGCTGTGTTCTGTGCCTAGAAAGAGAGTGAAAATCTTCAGAAAATGATAATGCATCGAAAACAAAGCTTCAAATTATGTATGAATTAATTATACTAAGGATTCTGGTTTCATTCTGGTCAATGAAAATGTTTCAAGTAAATTGAAAAATTCTAACATGTTACTGCCACCCCTCATTCCAATCAAAATTATATGTCCTATTTAAATGGTGGTTTTCGTAAGCATTGCATGACAAATATGTTTTAGAATTATTGTTGAAAAAAGTTAAATCAGTCTTTCAATCAAATTTTTCGATCATTAGTAAATGTAAATATATTTTATATCGTATTTTGTCCGTTTTTGTAGTGGCTTCTTCAGTAAATATAAAATGTTTACTAACTACTCGATCTTTCAGACTTCTGTCATCCTAATATTCTTGCATGGCAACTGAAAATGTACTGACAAGGAAACATCTCTCCGTGTGTGCTAAAATTTAACAATGTTTAAAGAATAAAGAAATAAGTAGAGGTATGTTTTCTGCGAATAAGCTTTTGAAAGGGATGAAACAACCCTACAAAAGGGAAAGCACAAGAGATGCTTTTAGTGTTTCGCCAAGAAAAATCCATTATTTGCGAACAGACATTGAGCATTTTGTACATTTCGGAAAGTCGGTCATGATTCTCAGTATTTTAACGTACGTGTGGTGTGTAAGTCTTTGACCTTGTCCTGTACTTGCGCTTATACAAGAAGCCGCTGTGTGTTCTCTTTTTGTGAAAACATAATGATGGATTAACAGTCAAGATAAAACTAACAGGCCTATTAAAACCAAAGATTTTTTTCTATAGTATATTTTACTTGTTTCGGCAAAACTTCTGTTGTACGCCGACTTTTAAAACTAATCAGAAATATATGTTCACACACGTTTAATTTAAGTAATAACTTTTTCATTTATCAAATAAGTCTTTCTAAGTTTCACTGAACATTTCATCCATCTCGATGCAAATTCTTAAGAATGGCAAACAAATCAGCAATAAAACCGTTTCTTTTTCATCAAGATAACACCTGCAACTTGCATGGTCATGTCGTGTTGCAAACAAGTAAACACACCATGAACGCCCAAACACAAAGCAATGTTTGGAGAAAGATGAAAGAACCAATTTAATTAATAGAAGGAAATATTCAAGAAATGCAGCTGTCAAAAGTTCTTTCTCCACCTCTGAAACATGGCACTACACGTGGGAGTACATTCTTCCACGAGTTGGTGTGTACTCACGTAGGAAATGATACAGTTTTACGAAGAGTCTACAGAATATTAATTACTGGCTTACATTTTCTATTGGAATCATTTTTACATGAATCAGATAGCCCGTTTATATCATTTAGAGCTATAAAATAGACTTTGTAGTACATACTCCAAATTTTGTTAATTATGTAAATTGCAAATAATGATAATATTGCATTACAATATACGAAGAAACAAAAAATGTACAATGAGATATAAAATATAAGAGTTAAGTTCATGAGCACACAATACGCCGATATTGACTTCAACTGTTGAAAGAAACAAATTGAGCGGCTATTTCAGTTTCTTCTGGTCAGAAAATGTAGTACTAATCTTCATTATAGTGCTTCGTGGTAGTGTAATACATACTCGCAGACGCCACACGAAATTGCGTTAATACTATTGAGTGTTCAATTGATATTGCAACTATATTCCCGAAAGAAATAGAAAAGTAAATTACTGGGAAGTTGATGATTCATAGCATAGAATGCTTAATTTCTTACATTTCTATTGGTAATTTCATAATCAAAATTGATATCTTAGATACACGTATTGTTGATAGAAATATTTCGATAAAATATAAAATCTGCTATTTAGGAACTAGTTTTTGTTCATACATGGTGCCACACTTGCATTAATTTGATGTCTCTTGGACAATGGTACACATTTCATATCATTACACGAAAGGAACATACATATTCAAAATTCTAAGTCAATTGAAGGAATAGGTAACAAAAAAGCACAAACAAATGAATGCGCCAAATCGAATACGAACATTCCACACCCGTGGCAAATTCCATTTCGTTATCACAGACATACCTGCTATTGGTTCCTCAACTCCTCCAAGTGCACTTGCAGAAAACGATCTGCAACTGACTGTGCCTGGGAGCAATCTTATACCAGATACCGACATCTCTCCCCGCCACTGCGTTAGCGGTCACTCCTCCTCTCCCTCCGCTTCCACTCCCAACACCGCCATCCGCGTTCGGCAAATGGCGCCGCGCGCCGCCATCTCCTTTCCCTTCTCCCTCGCCTCCGCCATCTCCTCCGTTCTCCCTCCAGCCGCGCGCGCCTCTCTCCCCCGCACTCGCCACCTTCTTCACGGCCGTTGCTGCCTCGACGTCATCTCTCCTTCGCCGCCGCGCCGTCTTGAACTGTACGAACCGACATTCGGGACAACGCATGATTGAGATGAATGCATAACGCATGCTGTCAAGCGCGTGAGTGCCAACGTCGAGTCCCAAGTTCAAGTAACATCCGATTGCATTTATACACACCAGAAAACTACTTATCACGGCAAGATTAGGATTGCTTTGAGTCAGGTTTAAGTCTCACGTTGCAGAAGTGCAAGTGTTGTGCTACAGGTGAAATTATGTTATTTCTTTGCCACATAAGCTAAATCAACTACGCGCGCGCGATTGTTTTCTCTTGATTTCGATTTTTTGCGTGGAGAAATAAAAAAGGGATAACAAAAAACCAAACAAAAGCTGTTATCTGATAGAGAGAGAGGTGGGGTCTGATGTACAGACTAAACACGATAACTCAATGACATCTTCACACACGCCTCAACGTCATTGTAACGACCAGATCATTGTCAAGATATTAGTGTTTTTGTCGTTGTTGTCTTAGTTCTCTTGTAGATTTGTTTTCATCTGTTGTAATAGATATCATTTCTAATCCTACCGTTCGTTGATGCTAATTTTACTGACTGAGTTGGCTCAGTGTCTCTCTTTAGTGACTGCCGAGAGGTACTAGGATTCGGAGCATCGAATCAAAATCAAAAGTAATCACGATTGTATATTTATCCGTTTCTGTCAATTAAATACACCTCTTCACATAGCGATTACGATTCAGTATTCCAGTCGCATATATTCAACACTTGTTATATTGTTAGGTCCAAGTCAGCCGGGCAGTCAGTCAGTCAGACAGTCAGTCGAGTTGACGGCCGGGCTGATGGTTAGTGTTTAGATAAACACCAGGCACATACTGTATTAGTCAAACACAGCATTTCGCTGAATTTGAAACTGCACTAAGCAGACAGTAAATCTTGAAAGCTCCACTCTCACTAATTCTAGAAGTAATGGAAAAATAAAGCAGAAAATTAATCTTTTGAATACGTCTTTATTGCAGGACGGTCATCACTTTGTTTACGAAAGTAGTCCAATATTCAATAGATTATGGAAGGCTAAAATCGGATCCTTACATACGTTTCTGAACAAGCTGTGCTGAACTAGGAAATGCTGAGTACGAAGGAAAAGTGCGCGACTAGAATGTAGAAATGAATATGCGAAAGCTACTCTGTCATGATGTGATGTTTTAAGTAACAGGAAACCAAAGTACAGGTCACGGTCGTTTATTATCACTGAAAATGACCAAGCAAGTGAGCATTGAATCAAAATAAAAAGTAATCATGATTGTATATTTATCCGTTTCTGCCAATTAAATATACCGCTTCTCATAACACATTCGGAAATATTAAAGGAAATAACGAATTTGTAATAACAACTTCCTGTAAACAATTCATTAGGAATTTTAATACGTTTTTTTGTTGTTCTTAACTGACGAACAACTTTGATACGAGAGTGAAAGCAGCTGTAGGTGATGGAAGATACATGTACGATTAAATAACCTGTTCGATTATTATGAACGTATTACAACGTTAGAGTAACTATATCTGTATTTTGTTAATTTATTTTATTATTAAATAATTAAAGCCTGGAGTGGATTGTCAGTGGTAGAAGGCTGATATTAAGGCAAACTGAACATGGACGCTATTTTTATAACATTATTGACGCCACTTTGAATGCATACTTACCAAATATTCACCAGAACGCACAAAGAATATCAACAGAAAACAAGAGTGGGACCGTCATATCTACAAAAGAACTCTAAATGCTTTTCAAGTTTCGGAACACCCAGGAACAAAAGATCAAAAACCTCAGAGAAAACATCTCCAAAGAAAAGGAAGAGTGAATATTTGCAAATGTTAATGTCGTGGTAGAATTATTAAAAATTCTTTCTTTTTAAGTAGTTACTTTCTTTTCATGTGCGGTTAATTTCCCTGCAAGAGAGACAGAAGAAAGAAAACACAATCAAGTGCAAAAACAAAAATTGCCAAGAACAATAAAAAAATGATTCTATGCTATAATTCCAAATAAATTATGTAAAATTTATTATTGTGTATTAAAGTTTATAACCGTTATTCTCCATAAATTAATTCCTGGATCAATTAAAATAGCATCATCATATAATACACCCCAATTACTTATTCAAAAAATACAAATTAATTCAATCCCAATTCTTAATTATTTGGTAATAAAAAAACTTCATTTATTACTTTTTTATTTCTGCTTTAAATCAGTGTATTGTTATGACCGAGCCTCTGAGGCACACTAAATAGAAAGTCAAAAATCTGAACTCCGTACATCAAAGGAATAAGGGTACGAGTATATTTCGAAGCTGTACAGTGAACAAACAGTCTTCAGACCGACTTTTACTCATCTTTTGCAAGAAATTGTTGTTTTGTATTAGTGTCATTATCTTGTTCAAGTAAGATAATGTAAACTGAATAGCTAGATTTTGCAGCAGTGGTTCACTTAAAGTTTTGTGAAAAGGCCTCAGAGGTACCTTGTTGGTTTTGTTTGCGAATCACACTTCAGTTACCGTTCCAACTTGCTCCTGTCATTATGTTCATTACGACGAATATGCCAAGTGTTTGTCGACTCAGAGAGAAAGATT